TAAGTCAAATCAACAAACTAAATTTGTGACTTCCTGTTGTATTTTCCAGGTAGCTAGATGCAATAGAGTTTGGGTTTACGAAAGCATTTATAAAATAAACAAACGTTTCCAAAAACACCTATAGCCACATTTACCACGATTCTAACAAAAATATAAAAGAAAAATGTTGAATATCTCACCATCATGTTCTTCATTCTCTACTATTAGACGAAAATTTCAATTAGGATACATCTTAACGCCTGACAGTATTGTGAAAAAAACTACGCCTATTTAACAACAAACAACGAACTCATATTTTGTCGAGTTCCATATCCAAAATGTCTGACTGACTAGAGTAGTCCTATAAACAGCATCACCAGTTAGAAACTCAGCAAAAAATAAGCCTCATCCGTGGAAATCTAGTTGTAAAACAGCTCATTGAAGAACAACTTATCGCATATGTCGGATTAAGCGAGTTTTAAGTTTGAAAAATTGAACCGGTACAAAGCCCAATATTAAAAGTACGAACATCAACAAACACTTCGCCATGCTGTTTTTTTTGCGCCTCACGTTTCACTGGGACAATAACAGATAAACATTTATTTTGTCTCATATAACTCTTTCTGTACGATACGAAACACTATTTTCACCAAAAATATTTTCCCATGAACCCAAAAAAAACAATTCAAAATTTTGAAAATCTGATTTCACATTCGGATTCCCGGACCCCGATTTACTTTCGTCAACCTTTATAGAATATCGCTATTTTCTCAAAAAACCCTCCCCTTGACCCAAAAAATTCAATTCAAAATTTTGAAAATCTGATTTCAGATTCGGATTCCCCGACCCCGATTTAATTTCGTCAACCTTTATAAAATATCCTTATTTTCTCAAAAACCCTTCCCTTGACCCAAAAAATTCAGTTCAAAATTTTGAAAATCTGACTTCAAATTCGGATTCCCCGACCCCGATTTACTTTGGTCAACCTTTATAGGAGAGAACTTAAAATAGATGTTTTTTTGACCCCGACAAACACACAAACCCATTTTCAGTTTTTTTCATATGACCCTCCCTTCAGTCGAGGGAATAATGCCGTTTTTGATAATAATCCGTTTCTTAGTTTTGTCGCTATATGTGTTCCATCTTGAAAAGACAAAAACAACTACTTTGAGCGCATATAAAACCACATCCATGAACTTGGAATTTCTATTTCAAAAACATCCTTTCTATTCAATAAGCCAATATTCGGTAATTGTGAGAAATATCGTTGAAAATCAAAAAAAAAAAGTTGTTAAAAAATTAAAATGTTACTTCTATGATTAACCTAACCTGTTGCTAATCCCATGGCGTTCAAATATTTCGGCTCTGCATCGCTCGAAAATCCAACAATCCTAATATTATCAGCACGACATTTTTCATATATAAATAACCAACGACAAAGTACTGAAATTGAAGTTGTTTGCTTACCAGTACCAAAACTTGATAATAGAAATGGGTGTGGGTGTGAAGTGTGGAATGTGGACGTGAGTGTTGAAGAATAGAAGATCGACACCTACACCCACACCCACACCCTAGGTTATTTTTGTTACAACAACCAAGAAAAAATTCTATAGTCGCACCTCAATAAACTCATGAACAACAGTACATTAATCTATCACGTTTGTTTTAAATGTCGTTTCTTATTTAATCACTAATAAAACATAATTTGTGCATTATTTAGTGCTGTTTTCATTTACAAAAAAACTGAATAAAATATATTTATTTCTGATTATGAAATATTCCGAATAAAAAAATCTATAATATTGATAACAATACATTCTAAGTTGGTTAATCGTTCAATCACATAAGTCATTCCAAATTCAGTATTCAATTACTGTTCATAACTAGGGTGTGAGTGTGGGTGTGAGTTACGTAAAAGAGAAGACCCACACCCACACCCTGCACGGTGAACAGCACATTATGGATATCGAGAATTCAAAGTGACATATGCCAAGATCAAGTTTACAGTAAAAACTGACAGAATTCTTGAAGATCTTGTTGTCTACAAGAAACCGCCACATATAATGTTAACCAGGAGACCAATCAACATAATACCACAGACGAAAAACGAAACAAACATAATAATATAAACATATCGAAATTTATAACTAATTTCTCTAGAGCATGGACATCTCAATACAAGAATGTTTTCGTGCCCACACTGATATACAATAAAACATTTCTCTAACCAAAAAAAACAGTTTTCTAATTCAACATAAACCCTATCATGAATTCTCTAACAATCCACTAATTCATTTTTATTTTAGATTTATTCAAACGCAATTTACACAAAACTAATCTAAAAGCAACGGCAACATTCAAAACCAAAATAAAACCAACCTAAATCAGCAACACTCGCACACATTAATAAAATACTGAAAATTATAACTCACCGAAACTATACTCTCCAGAAATCAAGACGTAAAAACCAACTAAAGCTTACTCAAAGCAAACGTTCACCATGAACATATTTTTTGCAATCATGAAAGAGTGCGAAAGCAAGGTCGAAACAATTATCGTAAGTAGCTGGGAACTTTAAAATTCATCTATAAGCACACCACAACTATACTCAAACCCACATCCTATATCGGCTTATTCGGCTATTTGGGAGTCACAGAGCGTCATTTTTCATCGTTGGAATATATTCATGGCCATATTCGTCGATCATCAAGAAACGCGATGAGATTAATTTTCGAAGAATAAGCGAATATTTATCTAGCGGACGCAATGCTTCTAAGTCGAGTTTTTACATGAACAGTTTTTTGCTCAATTAACTTTCTAATTTATCACTCTTCTTCAGAAGAGGCTCAGTTAAGTCCAATATTATTGATTTCTTGCATTGAATACTATTAACTTCTTCACTAAAATTCATGTATTGATTCTGAAGCTTCGTAATATCATCGTTATTTCTCTTCTCAGGTCCAAAAATAAGAATAATAATTAAATATAGATCAACGCAGATCACGACTATGGCGATAGCTATCCCGTAATTATAATTCTGTTCTTTAACACTAATATGTGACTTCGACAAAGGGAAGTGTTCTGCAATAGCGCACTCGAATGTCACTACAGGTGCAGAGATAAGATTCCCAATTTCATAGACAGTGCCAATAACGAACGAGCGCAACTCTAACGGAGTTAGTTCCATGAGATGGATGGCAGAATACCGAGAGCACCTTCTGCACATATTTGTTCGAAACCTGCACCGATCATTATACTTGGATTTCGTGGAAGAACATAGGCTGGTACGAGAGCAGCACCAATAAGGAGAACAACGATAGTTGAAAGTCGTCGCCCAAAGAAACTCGAAAAGTAACCAATTAGTGCACCTCCAACAAAAGCACCACAGTTTGCAACACATACGACAATAGTGACGAGGCTATTCGAAAAATTAAGCTGAGTTCTTAGAAAATCTGGGTATAAATCTTGACTGCCATGTGCTAATAATTGAAGTCCGCCTACCAATAATGCGAGATAGATAATGAGAAGCCAGTTGTGAACAAGCGCTGGACAAATCGTACCGATGAAATATCGCACTCCTGATGTTCGATGATTAGCATCCTCTAGTATTAAAACATTCATGTAAATGAAGCATATCAACTAGAAGTGGCACATACATTAGTATTAGTATTACAGTCAACTTCATCAGAGCTGAACTAGTAGCATTAAATCAGCATTATCTTGAATTCTAACACATATGCTACCTGCTACTATACATCTCAAACTTCATGTTCGAAATTTTTCCATAAAAGAACAAGTTTTTTTACATTCAGAAGCGGTATTTCGAAAATCAAACAAAATTGTTCGATTTTCGAAACTTCTGAAGTTAGAGTAACAAAGAAGTCGTCATCGGTAATCTATATATTAGAATTAAAAATAATGCTAATTTAATGTTAACAGCCTGATATTAATGAATTTTAATGCAAATAATGCCAAAGCATTAGTATCAGTATTAATGAATGCTAATACTAATTTACATATGACAACCTTAAGATCAACAGTAAAAAAATATTTGATATAGAAAGCTGGAATGTTGTTATTGTGCAGCTGAAGGCAACCTCCTGATTTTCGTGAAACGAATACAAATGACGTTTACGAACTTTTCAAAATTTCGGAGCATTTTCAATAACAAATCATTTATGATACTAGGATTTTTTGAGGAAAATTTGACATCGAAACCGGGACCGAAAAATAACTATAATTTTTTGTGTACTCAAAAAGTGAGTACACTCTAGAATCGGTCAGTATGTCCGTCCAGCCGTTTACACAATAGCTTTTGAAAGGAGAGTCCGATTGCGATGAAATTTTCTACACAGTTTAATCTCAACCATATCTCGATCGAGTTCGAAGATGAGAAGGATTGGTCGAGCCGTTGCTAAGTTATTGGGAAAATAGTCATTTTCCCCTATGCCTTCCTATGCGAGAATCGACCTATCCCCACTTTCGTAAAAAACTTTTCCTATTATAGTCAAATAAAACCCCAACTATTATATACCATTCGATAGAGAATTTCACGAGCTACAAAATGGTGTATAAAACATAAAGAAATAAGAAGACTAACTCACCTATTGCAAGGGTAATTAAACGGGAATTGGTTCTGTTTGTGTTCACACTCTAATTGATGGACAATGAGAGCTCTGTCTTTCGATCATAGAGATGACAATTCGAGGTTTTTTGGGTCGGAGAACTCCAATCTGAGCTCCGTTTGCCTCGAACTCCTATTGGTTGAGCAGTAACCAATAGAAATCAAGTTATCGGAAAAACGACTTTCCTAGGGTAAATCAAGGCGAAGAGTCCAAATCTGAGCTGCATTCATCCACAAATCCTATTGGTTGAGCAGTAGCCAACAGAAATCAAGTGTTTATAGACAAGATTTGCCAGAATAATTTTTATATTCCCACATTCTAGAACGACTCATCTGTCTCATTCACTTTTTGAAGTACACATAACTCTCGGATTTAAATCCGAAGTTTCCAGATTTTTTATTTCACCTTTAAGCCAGTTATACCTTTGAAGGCAGCTTTTTTGCGTTCCTCTTGGATACAAAGAAATGCTTGGGATTCAGGTAAGAAAACTCGCCAGAGAGCAACGAGTAGTGGAAAACAACCTCCGCACCAAAAAGCCATTCGCCAGCCGTAAGATTGACTGTTCATAGTCACAAGATTCCAGATAACAGCCATAATAAGTCCAAGTACATAGCCCTGTTGCAGCAATCCTGATAGAAGTCCACGTGCAGGAATGGGTGCATTTTCAAGTGCAGTCGAGGCACAATTACCGTAGATACCACCCATACTAACACCGTAAAGAGCCCGAAAAACAATGAATTGTACATACGATTGACAGAAACCCGTGCTAATTCCGATGATTCCATAGAGAATAATATTCACAATAAGAGGCCATTTACGACCAAATCGATCGCTGGCAACACCAAATAATATGGCACCGACAAAGCGACAACTGAGAGTCATCGTTATTCCCCAAGAAATGTCCAATATTGGTCTATCATAGGTCTTGGCAATATTAGTTAGATTGAGTGGAACAATGAAGAAGCCAAAAGAAGCAAAGGTCCACGCAAGAAAAGCCACAAAGAAAAAAGTAATGTGTTGACGATTAAGCATTCTTAAAATTGTGATAGGATTATCTGGCATAGTCAGGGGTGGTATGAGAGTCGTGAAACAAGTAATGATATAAGTTTTGATTGTCATAGTCGTGTGTTGAATAGTTCACAAAACAAGATACTTCGTTATAAGTGAGTCCAGTAAAATATAATGCCTATAAAGAATGCTTAAACTTGTTTGATTCCGTGACACACTGTTGGTGATGAATTCTGACATATACAGTTATTCAAAAAAGTATTCGGATACCTTAATACTTTTGCATATTTGTCGATTTAAGAGCTAGAAACAAGATATAATGTCTGTTCTCATCCAAAGATGGTCGTCACTTTTTTCTCGAGTTTTGCGAAATTGTGTCGTGAAAATCTGATTTTTCTTGATTTACAAGGAGACGAACTGCTTTTTCTTCTAGAGTACGACGAACACTAATTTGTTATTATCCTCTTTTATTGAGCAGAATACTTGTTAGAAGGAGAAAAATCCTATCTGCTGATAGAATTTTATTTTGAACAGAAAGGTAGTTTTAACTTAAAAATAATCCTCTGTAAGAAGAAGAAGGTGTGGGTGTGGGTTTAGATCTTCAGTTCTCTTCCACCCACATCACGCCTGCACCCAACCCAATTATACTTATAATCGTGTACTATATCTAAGAAAACTGTTGATGGCAGGTCCGTTTGCCCTAGAGAATATGAGACAGATTTGGCTTTAAGGTCAAAAATGATCTAGACACATTAGGTTCAAAGCTTATGATTAGAGAGAATTTGTCGAATAGCATTAGCAGCTTAAACATCTTCCTAGTGCAAACAAGCAGCCATACTTCAAATATAGCCTCTAGACGATTTTTCAGAGTAGTGATCTCAAGGATGGTTATTGTTGCTTCACAACAGAATTATCTCGATGATAGGAAGTGATGCTATTATTTTGCCTAGTCTTTTCGAGTTATTGCTCATAGCTGTTGGCCATCTTTCAAGAATTCAACATTCCACTAGCTGATATTGTCAATTTTTCAACAAGTTTTTATAGAAACTAGAACAAAGCATAGCCATGATATGTGTTGCTAGCGACTAGACACAGATTGGTCAAGACTAATGATATTGAAACGTTGATCCTTTTGACTTGTGAAGGAAATAACTTATTCTCAAAAATGAGTCTTCGTTTTCAATCGGCTTTTTTTTCTTTATAGATTGTCTTTGAAGTGTTAGATTAATCTCAACTTCACTTAAATGACAACAAGCTGCTATTTCGAAAATTTCTATTTTTATGTTAGTTTATGTCTCAGAATTGAAAACGTTAATACGACATACATCATAATTGATTGTATACATTCCAACCAGCGACCGAAATCGAATCGAATCCGAATGGAGATGCTTTTATTCAGTATTTTTTTTGTCTGGATCAGAAACTCATAGGGAGAAAACAAGAAGAAAGAATCAAAAAGAAAAGTTTAAATATATTCTTTCACAATTTGAGTGACACTAATTAAATTGACTTAATAATGTTACATGAAACTGATAATTGACCCAAGAGAATTATATAAACACAAAAGAAAAGAATACAAATTTAGAAGTTATAAACAAGTGTGTTTAATTGCTGTAGACAGAGGTGTTAGTTCTAAATGCATAACTGAATGATGCAGATGTATATCATAATTAAAGTATTGTTAGATAGATTTAGCACTCTTTGGGTCAATATTTATTTACGATCTTGCAACAGTGTTTTGTTATCATAAGTTTTATACAAAACAAATTAATTTTTAATGATAGACTTCGTGATAAAAAAAAGAAAACAGATTTATGATAATATCGAGATTTCTGAGTGATATCTGCCGATTATTATTTTTGCATTTCTTCTCTGGCCTATTCCTTTGAAATAAAATATTTATTGAAATAAGCTTTTATCCTTTTAGTATAAGGTTTCCTGGCTAATTTTCGTGTCGATCAGTTTCAAGTTCCAGCTTGTCCACTTTTAGAAGATATATTCCGCTCATAAAATTTCAATTTTTTTCAAGCATCAATTAGTATCCTAGTTCTCGGGTTCATTACTATCGAACATTTATGAGTCATTTTATTCAATAGAGTCAACTTTCTATTGTACTTTTTCTTTAAAAAAAAACTAAATAAGGTTTCAATATGTTCCCAGGTGGAAAAATCTTACAAAGATCGTATAAGATCCTACAAGATCTTACTGACAATCGGATGTCGCAAGACTCATACTGCATGATCTTACAGAATCGTACAAATATCTTAAGATAAGATTTGATATGTTTCTTACTGTAAGATGCTATTACGAATCTTATATGATTCTTGCTGTAAGATTCCAGCAAAATCTGACGATCAGAATCTTATAAGATATTGTATGATCTTATAAGATCATAATTTAGGTTTTTCTTGTGCAAGTATATTTTTTTATAGCCATACAGTTTGTGAGTTTAAATAATTATTTAAGAAATGAATGTGTTCGAATTAAAACTCACGTCTTTTCGAAGTAAAAATACATCTCGGAGTGGTGCTTTTCTCTCTGAAAATCAAATCACTAATCGTATTCATTCTATTTAAACAAATTTATTGTTGGCTAAGGGAGATATCTTACTAATTGGTTTAGTCATTTACGCTCATAGAAAAAGGTGTTCTCCATATTTTTGTCTAGAGATACAATTAAGTACTATCTTTTTTTATTTTTTGATGAAATTGTTCAAAATTATCTCACTGTAAGTCTTCAACATAGAGGACTTCTAACATGATAATGGTCACAATCGATCATATAAAGAGGCGGGAAACCGTTACAATCATGTTATATACGTTTAAGTTCAGTTGGGTAAGGTTGTACATCGTATTTTTTTTTTCAAAATACGACTAATTTGTTTTATATTCAGATATAAATTTTGAAAATTATTTCAGTTTTGTTTTACACATTGAAAATTCTACTGATTTTATTTTACTGTTTTTCTATTTCATCGAATAGCTTTTTAATATTTTCATGATATATTTTAATTAGAAAAACTGATGTTGATTTTTTTATTTATTTTAAATCAATGTGAACCAAAATAAATTCCATTAAATATCAATAGTTGGCTTATTTTCCGTTAAATTAGAATAATCTAATACTATTATCTATTTACTAATTAAAATACAATGAAATCGATTTAATCACATTAGATTTTTAATTTTATTTCATAGTATTATTTAATTTATGTTATACTAGAATAAAAGCAATTGAATGTGAATATTTCATTCTAATTAAAATGAAATTAATCTAATAGATTCATTGTATTTTTTATTTTAGACCAAAATCAATTTAACCTAATACCTATTTTTTAATATTATATTTAACAGAAATTAATTGAATGTGATTATTCATTTTGTTCGATTAAAATAAAACTATTGTATTAGAGTTATTTATACACATTCAAATTAGACTAAAATAATTTATTTTATTACTTTATTTCACTATTCCAATAAAAATAAAATTATTTTGATACATTGTTTATTTACAATCGATTTAAAATAATCTTATCTAATATAACATGATTGCAACCATTTTTTTCAAGTTATAGTTATGTAATTACTTAAGCTCATTTTAATATTTGACTTTATTTTGTATTACTGTGATTGATTGCCTGAAGACAATATTGAAATTATCAGCAAAGCGAACTCTGATTTGTTTTTGATAAAACTAATTTATCTAATTGTATTTTTCAATGTTACAATAATGAAATCGTTTTGTATGCTTTTTTTAAGAATAAATTTTGTCTTAAACGAAAGCAAGACGATAAAAAAGATAATTGCACACGCTTTTTTTTCTTAAAAAAAAGATCAACGTAAGTAAATCAGTGGCTAGAAAACCAAGTTAGAGAGCGGCGAATATTACAAGAAAATCAGTTATGCAATGTGTATGATAGCTGTATACAATCTTGCATGAATAATATAAAATCTTACAAGATCACACAATAAGATCATATAAGAATCGTACAGTACGATTTAATCAGAAATAGTGGCTTTAAGATTACCATATAGAATCGTACAAGATCTTGTATAATTTTCATATGATCTTATACAATCATGCAAGATCTTACATTAAGATCGTGTATATTCTTGTAAGAATCGTATAAGATCTTATCGTCAGATTATTTGACCTGGGTATGAACAGATCAAATATTGAAAAATGTGACTAGAGCCGGAAAATAGAAAAGTCAATACTTTGTTTAGAAAAAAATCAAAACATGTGAATTATGTAACTTGTGCGACAACAACAACATCTTGTCTGTGAATGCAAATCAAATGGAGTTGAATCGAATCGATTGAAGGATTTCTTATTCGTTTAGGTCTCTGATTCATACAATCAAAATCAATGGAAGTCATAAATACGTCTAATACTTTGAATACGTATTTCAATATCATTAATATTGTGAACATATGTATTTCAATTATTTTTTCAAAAAATGATCAAGATTCTCCGGAAATAGTATGTTAGAGACGTAGTAATTAAATACTTATCAGATATCTTGTTTTCAATAGTTTGTATTCTATTTATTTGTTGTCTAATATGTTTATGTGAAAAAATATAATCGATAAAGTTTATTATACGTAGAAACATCATCTACATGTATTTTTAATCAATGTCCTATATATACGAACATACTAGTGTAATTCGATAAATTTTTATAAAAATAGTTGAATTTCGTACACTCACATTATAAATGCTGCTTAAATATTCAAAGAATGGATGTTGTTACAAATTCTGTTTTTGCTGATTGTATGGATGTGTATAGCCAATTAAGACGCATCCAATGTTTAAATTTGTCAATACTAGATAGTCAACTAACATAATACATAATTCAAATCTTCGAAATAACA